CTCTCTGCCTCAGTATGAGCCGCACTGATGGCCTGCTGAGCCATCTCAACCGCTGTTTGGAATCCAAATGATCTGTCTATGACTCCAACATCATTGTCCACAGTTTTAGGAATTCCAGCTACAACAACGTACAATTTCCGGTGTTTGATTTCGTTAAATATCTCCACCATACCACGCATCGTGCCATCTCCACCAATGATGTATACCTGATGATGAGACAAAGAATAAACGAGGTAACAGAATTTCCATAATAGAATACATTGAGTGAAATGGATAGGGACACTCACAGTTGTTACTTCTTAAATGCAATAATTAAGAGCAAGTGAACTAGTCAAGAACTCAAATCCATAATGTGCTTAATTTACCAGAAAAGAATACATTGGACGAAATGGTTAGGGATAAGTTTTTTTGTTGTTAATTCTGAAATGCATTAATTGAGTGAGTGAACTAGTCAAAAACTCAAATCCATAATATGCTCAAAGGCATTGATAATCCTCTTGGATTCCAGAAAACTACAACTTCTAATTTTGTACATAACATTAGACAGTTGCTATTGGACAACATCAACTGAACCTTAAACAACTAATATTTTATATCCATCGAGTTATGAAAAATTCCCATCCAACAGAATAGTCGCAAAAAGGCATTGACGTTGAAAGAGAACTAATTTCTTAAAGTGTCATTATAAGTTGTCTTTCTTGTTTTAACTTATGATTTTTCAGCTGATTCCCTGCGAAATATAGAAAAGCTTAATATTTTCAGGGAACTCAACATTTATGGATGGACTGTGTTGAACCTCGATCTCAGTTAGCCCAAACCTAGGATGTGACAGTGAAAACTTCTAGATCCCATGGTGCACATTTTGCAGACATGCAAGTGCGTGCAGAACTTCTACTCAGGACATATAAAAACTATCAAGATTTGACAAATCTACCTCAAAATGCCTAGATGGCCAATAAGATAGCTCTCTATGCAGAACTTCATGGGTATGAACTAGTGCATGATAAAATAAAAAGAGCAAATGTCCATTACATTCCATGTTCTTCAGCAATGTTATTAGAGAAACAGAGCAGACATCGACGGTTATAATAATAATAATAATAATAATAATAATAATAATAATAATTCTCCAAAAAATTGATATCCTTATTAAAGGAACAAAGAATCAAATAGCCCTTGTTTGATCCCCATTATTATCAAAATATATTTCTCTATTATTTTCAATCACACATTCTTCAATAAAATAATATTACATACAAACCCAAAACTTTTCAATTTCTTTTAACCATACATTCTCCATTGAATCACTATTCCAAAGTGCATTTTTTGTCAAATAATGGGCTCATTCTTTTCGCAGAATAACCCCAAGGGATTGTGGGTTTTTTATACGAATTGGGAATCTCCCTTCACGACCCCCATGGGAATGGTACACAGGATTCATGACTACTATAACTCCTAGTTTCCACATGAGACTTGCCACCAGTATTTAGTCCAAAATGACTTTTGCCTTGTATTTAAGAGAGCGAGTAAAAGCTCCTTTATTTAACAGCTCATTCTTCTCTTTCAATGCTAGAGATAAGTACATTAAGGGAAAAATGCTCTTTTATCACGTATGTGGATTACTTGGTCAAAAACCTAGCTGCACTAGTTTCATAGCCATCTCTTTAGCATTCTGGCATTCCTTGCTAGCACAAGTATGCAAATGAAAGCGAAATATCTTATATGTTCAAGGTAGAATTAGG